ATCTAAATCCATATTGCCAAATGCACAAGTTGCATGCGATTTCGACGCGAGTCACTCTTCAAACACTCCAACATGGAGTCAGATTGTTGTCAGATCAGCGGTCGTAGATGAGGTTGATTCTAAGCTCTATGATGATGTTTCTACAAAGCTTGTTATAAGTGACGTGTCCGAAACACTTTCAAAATGTAAGCTACTTTTTTTTTTTTTTTTCCTGGAAAAGCGAAACCTTTAGTGCAACAAGAATCTTTCATTGATTCTTTTGTAATGATTAAAAGCACCATGGCCAGAAAAAATTCCATTTTTTCCTGCCCAATATCTATACATTACTGAAGAGATCTTGGAAGAGAAACCTGATCCTAATCTAAAGAAATACGAGAGTTATTTGAATGTTTCATTAGATAATAATGAAGATGACTCGTTTGATTGGATGGGTGAAGAATATGAAAAATCTCGTCTGCCAAAAGGTGTTGATAAAGCTTTCAGAAAATTTTCGGATCGTGTATCGGAATGGCCTGATCAATGCATTAGGTGTGTAAAATTAACATTAATATTAATATGTAATATTAGTAATACTTATTGTAAAGGCACAACATAATGTTTCGAAAACATATTGAGCTCACTAATATAATTATTAAAGGTATGAGTTTGACGGACAGCCACTTTTATATAACCAAAGTGATTCAACAGCTTCATTATTACTATCTCCGCCACATGGGTCTGTTAAACAACTTAAAACAAGTACGCAGCGATTACCAAAATGTCCAAAATGTGGATCCAAGAGAGTTTTTGAATTCCAATTAATGCCAAATATGCTATGCATACTTCCAACAGGAGAGTATGCAGCTAATAGCTCTGAAAAGAAGAGTGGAATAGAAGGTAGCAAATGTGGGATTGCACAATTTGATGTTGGAATGGAATGGGGAACAGTAATGATTTTTACATGTCAAAAAGATTGTGAAATGTATAATGTTAGCAAAGATGAAGTATCTTATTACGAAGAATTGGTTTTGGTACAATATGAACTGTAGGGATAATAAGTGAGAAAGAATGTATTATTAATTACAAGTGTTATCAATATCAATAACTTTTAAAACATTAATATAAATACTGACATTTTATATTGCATAGACTCTTACACGTTTTAAAAGCTAATATTTAGATTAAGTGAGCACACTTAATTCATTTCCAATTCATTAAATATGTTGCATTTTCATCAAATTTGATATGTACTTTAATTTTAGGTGCAGCTGAATGGCCAATACCATTGTGATGTTTATACACAGTTCTTAAATGCTTTTAAAACAACAACTATAACAATGAAATTAATCTAATCAAAACCGCCTTGATCAATAATTAATTTCATTAATCAAAATCATTTTAGTTATTTGTCTATAAATAGTGAATATTGAGAATTTATTATCTAAATTTACAAAATTCAATAAATATAATTATTTAGAGCTTGAGATAATCTACAAATAAGAAAACAAAGACAAACCTGGATGCATTACAAAAACACTCTAAAAATCAGATTGTTTATATAAATATAAAAAAAATTATTAAACCAACAATAGTACTTTAAAAATAATTAAAATCTAATTTCAGAGTTAATGCCTCTTCTTTTTTCCTCTTCTCTAATTTCAAAGAGTATTTGTGCGCCACCAAATAGTACAATACAGGCAATTCCAAGTTCCATTAGTCCTGATGTTTCAATTAAAAAAAAAAACGCAAATAACAACCTTTTAATTAGATTTTTAATTAAAGACAAAATATTACATACTGCAATGTCACTAATGTAGTAGAAACTTTGACCTTTATTTTTTTTTAAAGATCAGCCAGGCCTTTTTATGAGACTAACTTTTTGGTCTTTAGAAAAACAAAGATCAATTTCTTATCAACATAGAATATGATTACCTGTAGATGTCATAAAAATACTTGTAAATAAAACTTTCATTCCATCTAATCCGACGACAAACCCAACTAAATTTGCAGCCCACATCATCAAAAAATTTAATATAGCACCAACTGCACATAAATGTCGGTAACGTGGCCAATCAACCCACTAATAAATAATTAAATTTAGTACGCTATTAAATTGATTTGGAAATCAGAAGCAAAAAGATAACATTACATTTTGTGAAGAAAAAAGCTTTTTAGCAATAGTTTCTGGTAAAATAAACAGCCAAATCAACCAACCCCATGCCAATAACTTTAATGAGATGTCATGCCATAATGCTACAAATATAAAAATTATTAACATATTAAGTGTAGTACGTTTGTTTCCACCAAGTGGAATATAAATATATCTGTAAATTAAAGAACATTTACTTAGGAAATTTTAAAATTGCATAATTAATAAACATTTATCTTTTTATTTACCGAATTATCCATCTATAATAACTTCGATGCCAGCTACGCCAGAATCCAGCGGTCGAATAATTATTTAACATACACCTTAAAATATTTTCTTGTGTATCTATTCCATCTGACATCGCCCAAAATCTGAAGAATCGCCAGATTATCAATAACTTGGAAAATAAAAAAGTTTAGACATGTTAATTCGATGAAATAAAGTGAAATTTAATATCACTATATATAGCCAAACTTGACTTTAATCACCAAACAAATGCGATTATAATAAGGTTGTGCTTATAGAAAGATTAAATTAATATATTTTTAACAAGTTAGAGCTTAATAAAAATATAATTTTATAAATTGTGATTATAGCCAGTGTGACTATAGTCAGCGTTGACTGTATAAATATAAAGTATGAAATCACCTTTAGCCAAACCAATTCCAAATTGAGAACTCCGATCATAGCCAGTTCAAGTGGTGAATCACCATCCCATGCTTTTGATTTGACAATAGCAACAACGTATGTATAATGAAGCATAAATTCCATTATCATTATTGCAATGAAAAGTCTGATTCCGTATATTAATGTTGCCTTGATGTCTATTTCACATGGATATCTCAACTTGAAACATAATAGATATAAGTATACAAATTAAGCAAAAAGAGTCCAGTATATCACTCAAAAACCTCTAAATGCACATGTTTGTGCCTGAAGTTGCACCTGCCTAAAACTATCTAAATAACTCGTGCAAGATGATCTAATTTCAAGGGTCACTTTCAGTCAAGTGTGACTTCAGGCAAGTGTCAACTTCGGGCACGACACATATACTAATTAAACTTCCTTTAATGCTCGGGTCAAAACCTATAGTAATCATGATAATATTATGTCCTTTAAATGCATATTTTTGAAAAAATTTTATTAATGGTCTCGACCCTAGGCATTTAGAGTTTGCATGTACATGAATCAAAACTTACTTGAGCTATAAAGTTATTATAGGTAATTATTGGGCCAGCCAGATACAATGGTGCATATAAAGCGTAACTTAAATAATAAATAAAACTATAGTCTTCACGAAAACATGGACCAATTATCCGATCCTTTTCAGTCAGAGGTGCAAGATCTCTATCATTTCTCTGCAGATTCATATGTTAATACGAGATAAAATCGTTAGCAAAGATTAATGTGTTTTGACATTTGACATTAAGATTGTCAATGCCTTTATTTTTATAACAATAATAATAATTTACATGCGATTCTCCTAGGATTACCTCAGGGGAGTTGTTAGAGGGGTGGAATGACCAATAATAATCCATATTAAAAGACACAAGTCGTAACATACATATATTGAAAGTGACATCCCATCTAGTCACTAATCCACGATTGTTATCCTTAAGTTTACAATAAATAGAATAAATAAAATAAATAAATAAATAAATTTACGCCAGAAATAACGGATATACATAATATATTCACGTACCAAAAATGCGAAATTTTCATTAAGATCTCCAAACTTGTAATTACCATAAGCTTCATTCAAAAACAAAACACCCAAATTAAATATCCAAGTTATTATGGGGTTTGCAATTGAGCCTTCAAATACCTTCGGTATAAGATAATTTGTGCTTAATATCATCAGGATTTTGATGATATTATTACCAAACATAACATAAAGAAAAATTATTGAGAACCCTAAGAAAAAGTATGTCCTTATGAGGGGCTGATTTTGAAATTTTGCTGGAGATTTCGGTACCAAAAAAATTCGATATAAATGACTCAAAGCAAGGTAAACTGCTAAGGCAAAGATCAATGCACCATAATGGTCGCGGAATGAGGCGAATTGTATATCGCTATTATCCTATAATCATCAGAATTAAATTGATTAGATGAAATGAATTCAATATTTGATGTAGAAATTTTATAAACTTACCACTTTACGCCCGAATATCCATCCGTCTTGTAATCTCCAAGAATATTTCTTATAGTTTGGATGTGTTTCTAAAAAAACAAAAATCAAATACTGTCCATTTATATCTTTATAATTCATTATTCGTAGTATTCATAGATATCATTTCCATATAAGAGTCAGAATAAATGCTAGCGCCCGCCAAAAATTTCCGTAAAATACCTTTACTCAAATCATGTCCGACTTTGAACATAAGTAAAACGGAAATTGTAACGATAAAATAATAAAAACCAAACTCCCACGTATTCCATAATGGAGAGTTGATCTTTGTCGGAAGCTTTGTCCTTGAAGATGTTGGATATGATGATGTTTCTAATACTGAATATTTCGTAGTTGAATTCTCATCGTTATCTTTACTTGTCTCTTTCAAATTACTTAGAGCGAACATGATTAATTATGTTTAAAACAATTAAAAGTAATTTAAATGTTGATCATTTCATTGTTTATCAGGAAATTTGCCACTCCGCATGCGTGTCACGATATAAAAGGGGCATCTAAGTCATTATCACTCGCCAAATAATAAAAAATAAAAAAAAATAAAAATAAAAAAATAAAAACATTCATTTATTCCTTACTATGTCGGAAGCGGAACTTGATCAAAAAATTGAAACTGCACTTCGAAATAGTATCCTTGAGACAAATGCAAAAAATCGGTAAGTTTGCGAAAATTATTGTTATCATGTTCCGAGTCGTACATATATATATATCTTCTGACCTTTATTTGATATCAGATTAAAGAATTTATTATTTAAGAGACTCAGCGATAGTGGTTGGAAAAACAGGCTCAAAAAACGATGTACAGGTCAGATCAATTTAATCGTTTCTTTTTTGTTATTAGCTATGGTTCACTTTATTTATTATTGTTTTTAATAGAGATTATAAGGACTAAAGGGGTAAATAATATCAAACTTGATCAACTGGAGGATGAAGTATTAGCATATGGTCGAGGTATTACTCAAATTTACTCATTTATTGGATATTATTATATCTTTTGATTTATTTCTCAAATTGCAATGATTTTATTCGGACTCTTGGATGGTTTGCAATAGAAATTATCCCGGAGGATGTCAAAATAGAACTTTTACAACAAATTTCTGACTTATTAGACGAAACAAAATAGAGTAATGGGTTTTAAAAAATGGTGCACCCCTAATTACGTGATCGCCATGATTACATAGTATTATTTTTTTTTTTTATAAACCCCCGCTAGTGGGACGCCATATGGCGTGATTGTATTACTTTTTTTAATTTATTATTAAAAATAAAAATTTATAATAAAATTGATTGATTGATTTATTTATTTAATACATACATTCAATTCGTATATCGTATATAATTAATGCCTATACATACGTTCGCAGACCTTCGGCCTGCGAACTTCTATTTTAC